TCAGTTCCCACGTAATTACTGCATTTCAAAAGAAACTCCAAACAGGCACGAGGATGTGCACCTGGGACTTTCACAGTTCTCCTACAAATAAAGAGGGTTTATGTCACCTTTCATGCCACAATCTTTTATAGATGAACTGCCTTCCCCTTTCTAGAATACATACTTCCTTCTGGCACAGGTCTGTTTTCAGACTGGCCTGGAATCAGCTGTAAGAAGGTAGCTGTAGATGGAAATTCCACAAGAAGAGCAGGGGGAATTCTGACATTTCTGAAGGACCACTGCTTATATATCAAGCTGGAAACTGACTTTAAGTAACACAATTTTACCCAAATTCATTCTTCTTTTAAGAGGCCTGAAAAACTTACCAATATATCCCTTATTAGCAGAATCTTCTGTGGGTGTAGCAAGTTCCTAGAGAAACAAACAAACAAACAAAAGATAAAAAACTAAGAGCTGGATTTTGTACAAAAAGATTTTCCAGCTATTCTATAAATAAACGGTCATTTTCTTGCCAGTTACCAATACAATGACTTTTACAAGAGCCACTTTTATCAGTCCCTGTCTGTATTTTTCCTATGAGAAAACTCAATACAGTGATATGTCGTCATTTGTCTCACAGTTCATGGCAGTCCAGCAGTAAAATTGAAGCTACAAGACATTTAATAATCCAGCCAACTAATTGGCACTTATTGATCAAGATTCAGCAACTGCTTAACTATAAAGCTTTTATCTAGAAATAAAAAAGACTTAATTTTTGTATTTGTCTTTCCCCATACACAATATATGGAACAAAAAAGCACATTCTCAGACTATACAGGTAGGATTAGACAACTCCAAGTCTGAAAGTAACTCAGATGAAAGACCCTAATGGTGTCTGACTGGTATATTATTTTAACTCTACAGGAGATTCGTTCTAAACATAAATGCACAAGTTCAGCTAACAGCTAAATTAAAACAAAAACCAACCGCTTTAACTCCACAAATCACTGTAGTATTTCCAAACTTCACCAGGGCAGAACCATCTGCAGTTGTAATTGAACCTGAAGAAAGAAAGCGCTCTTAGATAACAATCTATTTTCCAGTTCAGACGGCCTTAATAAACACCCACCTTCACAAAGTGTTTACTTTCCATCACTTTATACTAAGCACAGCCTAAGCAAAGTCTCAATGAATCCAGGGTGGGAGCAGAATCTATATTAAACAGTCAATCACACAGAAGGGTTGAGGCTGGAAGGGGTCACTGGAGGTCAGCTGGTCCAAGTGCTCTACTCGAGCAGGGCCACCTAGAGCTGGCTGCTCAGGAATGTATCCAGATGGCTTTTGAATATCTCCAAGGATGGAGACTCCACAACTCTCAACAAGCTGTGCCAGTGCTCAGACACACTCACAGAAAAAGCATTTCCTCATATTCACAGGTAACCTGTGTTTCAGTTTGTGCTCATTGCCTCAGGTCCCATCACTGAGCACCACTGAATAGAGCCTGACTCCGTCTTCTTTACGCCCTCCCTTGAGGTATTTATACACATGGATAAGATCCCTCTGTGCCTTCTCTTTTCTAGGCTGAACAGTCCCAGCTCCCTCAGGTTCTCTTCATAGGAGAAATGATGCTCCAGTCCCTTCATTATCTTTGTGTAAGAATGGCAGGTAAGTTGCTGCCCTGTATCTTACTGCATAAGAGGTATCTTGCCTCTGCTTGAGACAGCTGCTCTGCTTGAGACAGCTGCTCATCAAGCTTAGAAAAAAGCAGAGGCCAAGAATCACTGCCTCTTTTACATGCTATCCAGTGCATCCATTTTGCACTGATCAGTATACGCCTAGATATTGCCTTCATCACCTGTATCACATGCTGCTGATCTCAGAAACAAGCTTCCGTGACCACCAAAAATGTGCTGTGCACACCAGCCCAGAAGCAGGACTGAATAACACCACCAAAATCTATCACTCTATCATGCATTCTCTTTAATGCTTGTTGAAACTATAAATAAATATTCTTCCTCTTTCTTGTTCCAAAATGCAGGAACCAAGAAAACTCATCAGCAAGTCACAAAGTTCACTTCTATAATCTGAGATTAGTAATACCTCCTCCATTATTATTATTCCAAATAAGCACTTGCCTATATTGACAGTGGTTGTCCGGAATTCACCCAACTCTCGTCCATCAGGGCGACAGTTCTCTTTCTAAACAAAAAATACAAAGTTCAAATTAAAAAACATTTTATTTAATAACACACCAATATTTTTTCTATAGGAGTTAATATAAAATAGTATTGTCTTTTTTAGCAGATACACACAGCTACAAAGATGCTAGGGAGATCTCCATCACATTCTAGCCAATTTTCATCAACTGACATGCAGTTTGTGCCTATAAGCCTGCAAAAAAAAGCTATTTTTTAATTTATTAAGAAAACAAATACCCTTGAGACAATCAATCTATTGTTGTAAGTTCTACAGGCTAGATTCAGGATATCGCCCAAGAATTGATACTCACTGATACCTTAAAATGAGGGTTTCTGCCCATCTGCATTGTTCAGATTCTGTAGGCAATTCCTTCCCCCATCCACACCTAGTGCAGCTCTTAAAACTGTTAGGGTGAACTAAAGAAAAAAAACCACACTAAAAACCAACCAAACACCCCCCCCAAAAAAAACCCAACATTCAAATACTGTCAGTCAGAAGCTGTACAATATCTGAACCTTATGTTAGAAATTGCACCAATTCACCATCATGTTAGATATTAATTATTATTCATCACAATTTCAAGCTTCTCAAAAGAAAATACTTTTGGTTCAATTATGAGAACCAAAACTGACTGCTATAATACTGGACCCATTTCTAGGTAGATTAGTATTACCTTAGTAATGGATAGACTAACTGAAAATAACAAGTCAGTGGGCTTCCTTCACAGCTATGGAGGGCATGGTTAGCAGCAACAGTCTCTATTATTTATTTTTAGTCACAACATGCAAGAGCCTGGTCTAACATGATTTTGTACTAGACACAAACCTGCACCACCATCTTGGTCAAATTTAACTCACATTCCTTTCAAGGCCAACAGAAACATTTACTCATAAAGTTGAGCAGAGACACAACCTGCTGCCGCAAAAACACCACACATAGCAGGAAAAATACATTCTGAAGACTAGGACCATTTTCTCCCTGCTCAGCACGATTTCTGGCTTTCCCATATAGTTTTAAGTTTCTATGCAGACAAATCAGAAAAGCAGAAGCAAGCAAGAAAAAAAATGATTACAAGTAATTTATACATGCATATAGTGTTCTACTCACCAAAAATCTCCTGTAATATTCCAATGGTTCCACTGTTCTAAAACAAACAGAACAAGAAGTTCACATGCAAGCTCCCAAGTAGGCAAGAGCAAAAAAGATACACAAGCACTACCTACAACAACAAATAACTTGAAAATCAAGATAATTCACAAAGCTGCTTAACAACATGTTTACAGACAGATGAGAAAACTCTAACCTGATCTAAGAAAAAGATTTTTTAACTTCCAAGATGTTTGTATAAGGAACCTGCCTGCACAAATACCTTACAAAAAACTCCTAGCTTTCACCTCAGTAATCTTGACTATTACTTTTAATTCAAAAGGAGTGTTTATTGAGATAAAGATGTAGAATGTTTTTGAAGAAATGCAGGAAGGGTAGTTTTATTACAGCAACTGAAATATCCATTAGTTCAAGGACTGCATTCTGATCTACAAAATGGTTTTAGTCTTGAAATGTTACGTTTTCTCTTAGAATCTAAGAAACTCTAGAATGTGAAATATGCTTCATATTTGTACATGTCGTTGAGAAACAATTAATTCTTACCATTAATTATATACTACTAACAGCATTTACGTTTTAGTATTCTAAGCAGCAAACATTAAAGTAAAAAAAAAACCCAAACTCATAAAAGTATTATGAGTATTACAACAAAGCCTTCTCGCTTTGTTAAAATAAGCAATTAAGAGGAAAAAAAAACAACCCAAAACAACCCAAAACCCCAACAATTTCTTCAAATGTAAACTAACATATAGAAGTATCATAACTCATAATAGTAATTATGAATTAACCCCTATAGGTTTCCCACATGTCCTGTACTACTGGTTTTTGTCCCAAACACATGGCCTGATCTCTTCCAGTTCACATAAAAGCACTTGCTAAACCCTGGTTAACACATTTACGCCATAAATCTGAAAGAAGCAAGGACACTGGCTGCCCAGAGAAGCTGTGGCTGCCCCATCCCTCGCAGTGTTCAAGGACAGGTTGGACAGGGCTTGGAGCAACCTGGCCTAGTGGAAGGTGCTCCTGCCCGTGGCAGGGCTTTGGAACTGGATGAGCTTTAAGGTCTCTTTCAACCTAAACCTGTCTGTGATTCAATGATACACACACACAAGCTCCTGTTTCAACCTGTATCTACGGCTACCTCTTCAGCTCGCCCAGCCCCAGCTACCTCAACTCCCCGCCGCTCCCCGCCAGACACGCCTTCGCCCGGCCACATCGCCCCGGCACGAGACGTCTCAAAGTGCAGCCAACAACCAGGTGCCCCGCGCACGGCCATGAAGCGCCAGACGCCCAAAGGGAAGCTCCAAGGGAGCCCCCGACACCCGCCTGCGACTCCGGGCCGTGGCCGGCTTCCATGGAGACACCACAGCAGCGCGAAACCGCATCGGAGTGAGAACGGTAAGCGAGAACACACGCCGGAACTCCCCTCCCCTCCAGCACAGGCGCTGGACTGAGGCGGGAAAGGGGTGAAGGCCCCGACGGTCACCAAATTAACGCTATCCCAACCCTCGGGAAAGAGCCGCACACCTACTTGAAAGCCTCCGCCATGACTGCACCGCTACCGCCCCGGAGGTGGTGCCACTTTGTGACCGACCGGAAGTCCTTCCCGCCTGCATGTCGGCGGTGATGACGGGCTCCTGCCTCTAGGGGGCGCCGACGACTTCAGAACCAACCCCCGGCAGGGTGGCCGCTCTCGGCCGCGGCTCTGTGTTCGCTTCCGTGTCGCTGTCGCTGTGCGGTAGGGTGGTGCCTGCGGCGCGGCGCCTCTTTCCTCAGCGGCGATGGAGCTCCCGCTGCCCCCGTCCCTGCCCGCAGCTGCAGCCGTGCTGGCGCTGGCGCTGCCGGGCCTAGCTGCCTTTCTCCTGGTGCTGGTGAGAACCGGGCCGCGGTCACCGCTGTGCCGGGAGGGCGCGGTACGTGGGGCCTCACTGCCGCCACAGCGGTGCGGGGTATGGGCGCTGCCAGCACCGGGCCTGCCGGGGGGGGGCTCTGCGGCCTGCAGCCGAACTGGAGCCCCCGGGGCTGGCCCGGGCTGGGCGGCAGACCCCGGTTTGTGCAGCCGCTGGCGGGGTTGTGCTGGTGTGTGGTGTTCTGTGGGGAGAGTGTTTTCGCAAGGCGTTGGGTGAAACGCCTCGAAAACGAGTTAAAAGTGGAGCGTTTCATTCTGACAGCGCGCCTTGTAAAATATCCCCTTAATGCGCTTACACAGTGACCACTTGCTGGGAGTCCTGTATGCTTCCGAGTGACTGAAATACCGTACGAGTGGGAAAAGTTTGACACGTGGAGAGTGATACTCCACTGCCTGCCAACAGTACCGTGTATATGATGTTTCCAAGTACTCCTACTCCCAAAGACCGAGTTCTACAGGTTTATTTTAGCTATGCATAAAGTTGACCAGAGCCTCAGTTTTGCAAGCACTGGTCCCGAGTAGTGCCATTGATTTTGGTGGCTCTGTTCAGGATCAGAGGCAGTTGTGTGGTAGAGATTACTCAGGGAAGGGGCAGCAGGGCTTGGGTCGCCACTTGAGAGGTATCTACATGCTTTGCAGTTAAAAACAGTAACAAGCCAATGATGCTGGCAGTTGTCAGAGTGGGTGAAATGATGCCATCAAATGGCCTGAGAAGGTTTTGGTCCTGTGTGATTAGGTCAGTGGATGAAGGACTGCACTGTTGACCCACCTCATTACTGGAGTATAGTTGGTTGCCCCTTGCAGCACATTCAGCAGTTAGATAAACCTTTAGTAGAATGCTCAATTATTTTTTCTCATTTCTTTTTGTCTTGCATCACAGATTTGTATGATTGCTCATATAACTGCCAGAAAAATGCCAACCTTTCACCGACATGAAAAAGAGAAATTCTTCGTAAATGCTGAAGGCAGGAAAGAATCTGTGCCAAGTATACATGATCCCCCTACCAGGGAGCTTTCTGTTGTTGTGCCTTCGTACAATGAGGAAGACCGGTGTAAGATTTTTCTTGCTTTATGAAAAAGAAGAAAATCTATCTGTTGTTGCTTTAATAGTGCAGAGATCAGTTTATGTTAGCAGTAGATTCTGGCAGGCCAGATTATGTATCTGATTTGGACACAGTTTCTAGAAAACAGTCTAAGTACATTGAACCTCAAAATTAAGACACTGTGTAACTTGATTTCTGCTGCTAAAAATAGCATGGGGCATTTATAAGGAGCCTCTTTATTCTAATGAAGTCCAGCAGAATAGCTGCTCATTGCCTATGTAAAATGCTGTAAGGCCAGAAATAGAAAAAGACTTTAAAATTGGTTTGAGAGCTTCCCATTCTGTGCACAACAGCTGCAGCTCAGACGAGCAGGAAAAAAAGGATGATCTCACAGGTCTCTGACTTGGCCATATATGTGAGTGTCTGATACTAAAAAGCAAAGGCTTTCAGATGCAATAGAAATAATCAAGCTTTAAAGCTTGACATGGGGTTTATGTGGCAGCAGATGTTGTCATTCCTTTTCTTGGTGGGTGAAAATACTGAGCTGTTTGGGATCCCGTGAAGAGAGATGTTGATGAAGTCTATCTGGACCCAAGGTAGGCCTGGCCCTTTCTCAAGTCTAATGCATTCCTCAGTTCTGGTTCTTGTACACCTGTTTTCAGTAAGCAGGGTCTTAATGTGATTTTCATTTGGTTGTCCCTCTCTTTGGTGATGGAATAATAACCTGAAATGTGCTCAGGAATGAACCTGCAGTGCAACAGCAAGTGTAAGGTTGAATGCCTTTCTGAACTGCAAATGCATCAGCTGCAAAAGTAGTGGCTATTTGTTGGCTGAAGCATCAGGGTCAGCAGCCTTAGTAAGAGAAAGCATGTTATTAGCTAATGTTAGGAATTTCTCTTGTTGGTTGAATAGATAAAGTCAGTGCTGATTCGTAGGGTTAGTCATGGACAATGATTATTTTTGTTGCTTTAGTATTGTGTAGATACATATTTCAAAATGTAAAGTTTGTTCTTCAGAAGAAATCTTTTTATCGTGTCTTACATGTGTGATTCTCTTCAGTGTTGTGTTTGCATTCAGAAAGGAGGAGACTTAAGAGTTGCAGGTGCTAAGCTTGTTTACTGAAGGTAGTGTTTGTGCAAGAGGGCGTTTGCTCAGCTTTGTTCTGTGGTTATTTTCAGCTTGCTTTTGCAGGTGCTTTTGGTGCTTTGCCTGTTATGATTTACTAATCTTACCTCCTCCACCTTTTCTGTAGTACCTCTTATGATGGATGAAGCCTTGGATTATCTAGAAAAAAGACAGGTATTTTCATTTTGCATTCAAAGTTTATTATTTTTATATGCGGCATGTATAATATTGCAGTGATCTATTCACGTTGTTATTTTGGTGTACATTAAAACAGTGTTATTTAGCTGCTTAGAAGCAGTGTTTCTGACTCTTATCAGTTGTTTTTAAATTGAATGCTGGTAAGTTTTTAAATTAAGTAAAAATTTAATATACTACTACATGACGAAAAGTCTTTGTATTCATGATATCTCTCCAAGATAGAAATTAAGTTTTAACCATACAATTAGCTTCCTAAACTAAATACTGGTTTGTTCCAACAAGTTCCTTAAGCATTTGTTCTCAGGTAAGAAGCCCATCCTGAAAGTTTGAGGATTTTGTTTGGCTGGGTTTTCTTAACATTGCTGCTGTTATGAGCTTTCATCTTTTAAAACTAAGTTGATTTTTTTAGTTCTAGGTCATAGCTGAAGAAAACTATGAAAACCTGATGTAATGGATCACGCATCAAATATGGCAAAAGTCTTTAATTATGCCATCTTAACAAATTTACATTATAGAATCATTAGTGTCTGTTAGCAACCATGAATGAGTTAAAAACTGATAGGGAGAGAAGAATGCTGATGTTTGGAAGGCCTACTACCTACTTCAGGAATTGGATGAAATACATTATTTCTGGTTTTATTTTTAAGAAACGAGATCCTTCATTCACGTATGAAGTAATAGTGGTGGATGATGGTAGTAAAGATGAAACTACAAAGGTAAGAAAAAGAAGTGTCTCACCAATCAGGTGTGGGTTTCTGTACCTATTTATGGAATATAGCAATGTTTTGCATTTGTATTTCATTACTTGTAGTAGTTACTAATTAAAATTCATGTTTCTGAATACTTTGTCATTGTCTTGTATGCATTGTGGATGTCACATACACACATGCATACATATAGAATTATTTTACAAATACTACTATTCTTATTTGGCATCTGTGACAGCTATTTCCTGCAGCTGAGATTCTAAAAATTCTTATCTTGACTTCACGGAATTTCTTATGAAATATTCTAAACATGCACAGTGATGTGAATGTGAACTTGAGGAAGCTAAAAAGCCTTTTTAAATCACTATTCTGTACTGTGATAGAGCAGCTGGAACGTTGTGTTGCTCTTTCCCATACGCTTTGTGGCATTGTTCATTTAAAAATCCCCATGTGTTGCCTACCAGGGGCATGGATCAGGGATGTGGCAGAGAGGCTGCCTGCTCTAGTAAGTCCCACGGACTATTACCCACTTCTGGTGATACATGTGGGTACTAGGGATATAGATAGCAGTAGCCTGGGGAACATAAAGAAGGACTACAGAGCCCTGGGGGATGTGGTTAGGGGCTCTGGAGCTCAGATAGTCTTTTTATCAATTCTCCAGGATACAGGGGAGGACCTAAAAAAAGCTAGGAGGATTGGCCAGATTAATAAATGGTTAGAAGGGTGGTGTCATAGTCAGGGGTTTGGGTGTCTTGAACACGGGATCCAAGTTTGTAGGCCAGGTCTAGTGGGGGCTGGTGGAGCTGGTCTGATAAAGAAGGGAAAAAGCAGTTTTGGTAGGAGGCTTGCCAGACTGGTCAAGAAGGCTTTAAACTAGATGTGTTGGGGGAGGGGGGCATCATTCCATTCCAACACACCCATGAGTTGCCAGAACCTATAACAAATGCTCGGAGCAATGTAGAGATGTCCCAGCAACTCCAGCCAATGAGCCGGCTTCATTTGGAGCTCGGCTCAGATGCCTCTATACAAATGCCTGTAGCATGGGGAACAAACAAGAGGAATTAGACATGTGTGCACGTCTACAGGGGTATGATATAACAGGCATCACAGAAACATGGTGGGATGGCTCCTATGACTGGAGTGTTGGAATGGCAGGTTACAGGCTCTTTAGGAAAGAGGCCTGGCATGCGGGGAGGCAGAGTTGCCCTTTATGTTAGGGATAGGCTGGAGAGTATGGAACTGTCTGGGGACAGGTGAGCAGTTAACAGAGAGTTTGTAGGTCAGGGTTAAAGGGAATATAGCTATGGGAGACATTACTGTGGGGATCTGTTACAGACCGCCTGATCAAGGAGAACCTGCGGATGAAGCACTCCATAGACAGATAGGAAAAGCCTCACGCTCACAGGCCCTTGTTCTCATGAGTGACTTCAACCACCCTGACATCTGTTGGAAGGACGGTATGGCCCAGCACAAGCAATCCAGGAGGTTCCTCGATTGTGTGGAAGACAACTTCCTTCTGCAAGTAATAGAGGAGCCGACAAGGAGAGGTGCCATGCTTGACCTCGTGCTCACCAACAGGGAAGGGCTGGTTGAAAATGTGACTCTCCAGGGCAGCCTTTGATGCAGCGATCACGAGATGCTCGAATTTGAGATCCTCAGGACAGTGAGAAGAGCGTGCAGCAAGCTCACTGCCCTGGACTTCAAAAGAGCAGACTTTGGCCTCTTCAGGAACCTTAGGAAGGTTCCATGGGATACAGCCCTAGAGGGCAGAGGGGCCCAAGGCTGTTGGTTGATATTCAAGGATCACCTGCTACAAGCTCAGGGGTGTTGCATCCCAAGTAGAAGGAAGTGCAGCAGGAGGGCCAGGAGACCTCCTTGGATGGATAAGGAGCTCCTGAGGAAAATTCAAATGAAAAAAAAGGCTTATAATAAGTGGAAACAAGGACAGGTGGCATAGGAAGAGTACAGGGATGTTTTCCGGGAAGCTAGGGACCAGGTTAGGAAAGCTAAGGCCCAGTTAGAATTAATGTTAGCTAGAGGTATTAAAGATAACAGGAAGGGATTGTACAAGTACATAGCAAATAAAAGACTAGGGAGAATGTAGGCCCCCTCAGGAAGCTCTCAGGAGAACTGGCTACACAGGATTTGGAGAAGGCTGAGGTTCTGAATGACTTCTTTGCCTCGGTCTTCACTGGCAAAAGCTCTGACCACAGCACCCAAGTCTTGGAAGGCAGATGCAGGGACTGTGAGAATGAAGACCTTGTGCCCACTGTAGGAGAGGATCTGGTTCGAGACCATCTTAAAAATCTGAACATGCACAAGTCCATGGGTCCTGATGAGATCCATCTGTGGGTCCTGAAGGAGCTGGCAAATGAAGTTGCAAAGCCGCTGGCCATCATATTTGAGAAATCATGGCAGTCAGGTGAAGTTCCCGATGACTGGAAAAAGGGAAATATAACCCCCATTTTCAAGAAGGGGAAAATGGATGACCCAGGGAATTACATACCAGTCAGTCTCACCTCTGTGCCTGGCAAAATCTTGGAGCAGATTCTCCTGGAAGGCATGCTGAGGCACATGAAAATCAACAAGGTGCATGGTGACAGCCAGTATGGCTTCACTAAGGGGAAATCCTGCCTGACCAATTTGGTGGCCTTTTATGATGGGGCTACAGAACTGATGGACAGGGGTAGAGCAGTTGATGTCATCTACCTGGACTTCTGTAAAGCATTCGACACTGTCCCACACAACATCCTTGTCTCTAAATTGCAGAGACATCAATTTGATGGATGGACCACTCAGTGGATAAAGAACTGGCTGGATGGCTGCACGCAAAGAGTTGTGGTCAATGGCTCAGTGTCCAGCTGGAGACCAGTAACGAGTGGTGTCCTTCAGGGATCACTGTTGGGACTGGTCTTGTTCAACATCTTCATCGCTGACATAGACAGTGGGATTGAGTGCGCCCTCAGCAAGTTTGCTGATGACACCAAGCTGTGTGGTTCGGTTGATATCCTGGAGGGAAGGAATGCCATCCAGAGGGACCTCGACATGCTTGTGAGGTGGGCTGATGCCAACCTCCTGAAGTTTAACCATGCCAAGTGCAAGGTCCTACACCTGGGTCGGAGCAATCCCAGGCACAGCTACAGGTTGGGCAGAAAAGAGATTCAGAGCAGCCCTGAGGAGAAGGACTTGGGGGTGTTGGTCAATGACAAAATGAACATGGGCCAGCAGTGTGAGCTTGCAGCCCAGAAAGCCAACCATATCCTGGGCTGCATCAAAAGGAGCATGACCAGCAGGTCGAAGGAGGTGATCCTGCCCCTCTACTCTGCTCTCATGAGACCTCACCTGGAGTATTGTGTGCAATTCTGGTGTCCTCAATATGGAAAGGACATGGAACTGTTGGAACAAGTCCAGAGAAGGGCCATGAGGATGATCAGGGGACTGGAGCACCTCCCGTATGAAGACAGGCTGAGGAAGTTGGGGCTGTTCAGCCTGGAGAAGAGAAGGCTGAGTGGAGACCTCATAGCAGCCTTCCAGTATCTGAAGTGGGCCTATAGGGATGCTGGAGAGGGACTCTTCATTAGAGACTGTAGTGACAGGACAAGGGGTAACAGGTTAAAACTTAAACAGGGTAAGTTTAGATTGGATTTAAGGAGGAAATTCTTTCCTGTTAGAGTGGTGAGGCACTGGAATGGGTTGCCCAGGGAAGTTGTGAATGCTCCATCCCTGGCAGTGTTCAAGACCAGGTTGGACAAGGCCTTGGGTGTTACGATTTAGCATAAGGTGTCCCTGCCCATGGCAGGGGGGTTGGAACTAGATGATCTTAAGGTCCTTTCCAACCCTAACTATTCTATGATTCTATGATTCTATGTCACTGGTAGGGTTTTTGAAACAGTTCTGCATTCTTGTGTTAGTTTGATGTACGTCACTGGAAAAAAAGGCTGGCCAACTTGAGGGTTTTTTTTGCTACTGCTTAGAAGATGTTTTAGTTAGCTGCTGAAATGAACACTGCTTTCTCTTTTACTTTCCTTAAGCTTGTCCACTAGTGATTGCTTATATATATATCTATTTTTTGCCTGCTTTGCATTCTTTCTGAATTAACTGGGAACACTATGGCCATAGGCTTCTGGACTTACAAGGGCTTGAGATAACCTTTAGAAAATAATAGAAGAAAACTTATGCTTTGTCTTCTCCACAATATGGAACAAAATGTACGCATTCCTGCAGTGTGAATGGGATTTTAGGTCACTTAATTTTTGTTTAAAACCACAAATAGCAGCAAGACAAGTGAAAAACAGGTAGTGGTAGAAAATTATTTTTCTTTTATTAACTATTGGTGTTGACGTAAAAGGTCTGTAATAGTATGATATAAACTATATTAGTATTGAGGTTTTTGGACTTGGGTGAATGGGGTTTAGAATTACTTGGGGTGATACCCTGTTCTTACTGAACATGATTATTTTCTTCCCTCCTCTTGCATTGACTCTGAACTGGTTTTTATTTTCCCAAACAGACTCCAGCAAAGACCAGGTTGGACGAGGCCTTGGGTGATATGATTTAGCGTAAGGTGTCCCTGCCCACGGCAGGGGGGTTGGAACTAGACAATCTTAAGGTCCTTTCCAACCCTAACTATTCTGTGATTCTATGAAACACTGGCAATATATTTGCCTGAAATGGTTATAGCTCTGTGATATTTTTTTTTAAAAAGGGTGAGCAAATGTAAACTTCTATCTTGATTTCTGTTTTTGTTTTATGTTGGTTTTTGTTTGTCTTATCAGGTTGCAATGAAGTACTGCAAGAAATATGGAAGCGACAAAGTGCGAGTGCTTACTTTGGTAAAAAATCGAGGGAAAGGAGGAGCAGTTAGGATGGTAATTGATGCTTTCATCTCCTTCTCGTTGTCTGAACTACCTGTGCCCAAATATGCAGCAGCTGTGCTGATAGACGTTTTGAACTCCATGCATTAACAAAGTTATTATCAGAAAACTGAGTATGGGTTCTGTAAATGAAGGCAAAAGCTCTTTTTAAAATAACCTCATTTTAGAGCTTGGAAAAGGTAGTTTCTTGACAGGAAGATCAATAACAGGGATTTTTTTATTTTTTTTTTTTTTTTAGCATGACAGTTCAAAAGCAGAAAAATAAAAAAAAAAAAGATAGATTTGAATTTTACACTCCTGCTAGTTCCACTTAGAAATAGGCTTGCCTTTAAAAAAAGTGACCAGCCAAACAAGGAACCTTTTACATATTAAAGTAAAGCTTTAGTAGAAAAAATACAGCTATATTTGTAAACATTGATTTCCACATCATGCCTGTGGTTTTAAAAATGGCTAACAAACAAACAATCACATGCAGCAAAGTTTGTGTTCATTGGAGCCCACTGGTATCACCTGCATTTGATAGTAAAACCAGTACCATTTATGTTTTCACATACTAATTTTCGCATACATTTTATCATAAAATCATCATGTTCTAAAAATAAAATAGCTGTTACACATTTAGAAGGAACATTTTTTTCCTAAGATGAATGACATCTTATTTTTATGAAAAATTGTTGTGTCATTTATGGGTTATCAGTGACTATATTTTAAGCTCTGTCTTTAATAAGTCAATTTAAATTATTTTTTTATTAAACACAAGTAACTATAGCAAATGGAGAGAACATTAAATTCAAATGTATGGAGCTTTTGTAAGGGATGTAATTACAGTTATTCCAAGAGAAGGAGAAAGATTCTCTGTGTGATACCTTTTTGCACTACAAAGTGTGAGGTGGATGTATATACTACTGCTTCCTTGACAGGTTCTTCTAAAGTCACACATGCTTGGTTCCAGCAGTACTTTTGTCAAACCCACTGCTGATTGTTTTCCTGTCTGGACATCTTCAAAAATTGGCAAAGATGTCTGACCAATAACATGGCAAAACAAGCTGAGACCTGTGCATCACAAATGCTTTGCAGTGAGTCTGTGACTTAAGACTTACTACTCACAACTAATTTAAGATTATCTCTTGAATGCTCTTGAAACAGTGTTACGAAAAAAATATCACTGCATCCTCCTTTCCAAATGACAAAGTAACACTATCAAAGGCAGTGGCAGCTGCCTATCACTGCTGTTTTGTGCTCCCCTGTGTAGCTGACTCTAGCAACTTGTTATCTCTTGGGATTTTGGTTTATAAAGCTTTTAGTTTGAAAGTTTTTCTGAAGAAGGAATTGTTAACCTTTCTCGTTCATGCATTGGCTGTGGCTGTGGCAGACTACTCAGTGTGCAGTCCTTACTACAATATAAATTGTTAAGTTGTTGTCAATATTAACGTGTCGAATTTTCGAGATACCACTGTTCTAATTACTTCATTAGGTTTTTGGGAGTGTCTTTTAGCTAGCTTAAGATAAATACTGATTTCAAAGGTGTTGATATTTATTGATTATTTTGACTGCAGGGTGTCTTTAGTTCTCGGGGGGAAAATATTCTTATGGTTGATGCAGATGGAGCTACAAAATTTGCAGATATTGAAAAAGTAGAAGAAGGTCTAAAAAATCTTCAGCCATGGCCTGTGAGTATAAATTCTCATGGTTTCATTTTAATGCACATGCGTTCAGATTGATTTTTCTAATTCTCTTCAGTTTTTTGAGATCTGGTTGAAGAGATAGATGTAAGTCTAGAAACCAAGGTGTAAGCCAAGCTGCAAGAATAGGCTGTCAGAAGGTGGCTTTGCCAGAATTCTTACCTCTTTTGTATACACTGTGCCTATTTCAATGCAGTACATAATGTTCGATTGACCATTCTGCCTTTGAAGTTGTTCTACTCTGTGTAAATACCGTATGTTGCCTATTCAGTTAAAAATCAATTTTTCCTTTTTTAACTGTTTTGTACTTTCCTTTTATTTGATGTCATCTTATATACCTTTAAGGATGCATCTTAATTTCACCCTGCTTTAAGAGGTTCTCAGAGTTGTTAGTTTAATGACGGTATTTGGAAGAACTTTTATTGTAAACCAAAATTCAAAAACCTGTAGAACAAGAGCTCCTCCCTGCATCGTCATTCTCCTTTGGGTGCTTGACTTGAAAGAGAGGAGGTTTATTTTCTGCTTAAATGCAGATGAGTGAGGTACTTGTAGCTAGTTTCTCGAGGTGCTGGAAGCAGTGTGCCCCCTTCCAGCAGGAACTGCGAGGGATGCTGCGTGCTCTGCGAGTGCAGGACCAGAAGTGCGGCAGCCACCGGGCGGCGGTGTTTAGCTGATGCTGTCTGCTGTCAAAGCGGCAGCAGCAGTCGCTGCTTCTGCAGCATCAGTCCCGCACTCTCAAGTATACCAGATTGAAGATATTTCATGTAAGAAGCAGTAGCATGAGAATAATATTAAACCTTTCATTATGATTACATCTTTTGATTAATTTCAGATGGTGTTCTTGGCTGATACCGTGGCATTTTAGTGTGTGAAGGTATATCAGTGCACCAAGTAGTTTATTGTCCATGCTACAGTGCAATATTTAGGGAAAGCATATTATAACACTAAGTGCCTAGGAATGCTAAATGCTTATCTGTGATTTTTAACACATTCAAAGTATGCATACCTCAGAGGAACAATGTAAGCTAAACCAGACCTGAATAAATTGCAGCAATCTCTATCCAGCATATGCAAAATGTAATAAATTTTAGATGATCTGTTTAATTGTAGAAAAGACCGATTTTAGCCTCAGAAACTAGCAGTAGAAAAAGTGCAGCTACAGGAGGCAGAAAAGTATACTGCTTTGAAGTTTTTTATTATACAGTTCTCAACACAAGATTCCACTGATTCAGAAAATGTTAGTTTAAATAATAACTATTTAATTTGTATTTGTGTGCAGAATGAAATGGCTATTTCCTGTGGTTCTAGAGCTCACCTGGAGAAGGACTCAGTAGCAAAGGTTTGTTTCCGTTTCCTGCTGTGTACGAATACTCAAATACTTCCATTGTTTGATGCTGTCCTGCATATTTTACAATTAAATAATCAATAGTTGTAAAAGCATGGAAGCTAAAAAATAGGAAAAGCTTTTCATAAGTTTTTTCATCATGTAGCATGTGCTCCATCATATACATAGGATGTGTATGCCTGTATATGTGCCTGGATTTCTAGGCACTTTGAACTGCTTTGGGTTAGTGCTTCAATTTATGGATTGAATTTTCCTAGTTCAGAACACCTTACAAACAGAGCTTCTAATTGCTGACAGAATTGGTAGCTGGTAACAAGTACTGGGGCTAGAGTGGAATGCAATTGATGAGTTCATTTTTATTGATCCCCTTCCAGTGTAAGAGCTTGACCTGCAGATCTTGAAACCTGTTTCAAATGAGTAAGGGATAATTAGCAACAAACTGTTTGAAGAGTCTCTCAATTCATGGGCAAGTGCTGTATTTTTTCCATATTACTCATAGTAAAATTTTTGAATTTTGAACATACAGACAGCACTGTTCTCTGTGTGACTCTTGTGGAATAAACAGTGGTGTATAGGCTCACAGTCTTATCTTGCATCTGGTTTTCTGATGTCTTGGCTGACAGTAGTTGACAAAGCACAGGCATGGAACTTGTATTGCAGCTGACGCATTGCTGGACTCATTTTTTCAACATCATTGGATGTGTTAATCATGTTGAATGTTCTCAAGAGTATGCTTTGTTTATACTGATGTTTAATACTTGAAATTATTCTAAAATAGGTGCACAACTACTAAAATAGTTCCAAAAGTTCCAAAGAAGTTACACTGGTAATGTTCAGCCCCTTGTAGACCTTTAATTTCTTTCTTCTGGTTTATCAGGTAATATTGGAGTGGTTCACTGGAAAGAGTTCTTGTAAACACTGCTGTGGGTATGTTAGTGTCCAAACAAAACAAAAAAAATCCAAAACTTTCATCATTATTAGAAATTAGGGTAAATCTTTGACATGGTACTTGCCTGCTTATAGCACAGAATATACCATTTGCAGTTACTTGTTACCTGTGTAGGCAGTGTATCCTGGAAATATTGCTACTCAGGATGATCATGTATGTGATGAATTTGAGCCCAGAAAAAAATGCTTCATTTTGTGGTCAGGTACTGAATATAGGTAAACTTTCTTTAGTGCATTTATGTGTCTTTTCATGTTTAAAGGTCTTGATACATGAGGGAGAGGAATTGGAACAGGACTTTATCTTTTAATGCAAAAGACAAATTTTAGGATGTGTCCATCCTTTGCTTCCTGTTGCTTCCCACATTTCTGACTTTCTGATAAAGGAATCGCCAATTGTAGCTCATTTCATTTCATCAGCCATCTGTCCCTCAACTGAAAAGGAAACACTGCCTTTACTACATTGAGAAGAGACTGTTGTGTAGTGTAGTAGGTATAAAAAAATTTGCAGAACAATCTTTGAGAAGTTGTGATTTCTGTCTGGGTTTAGTGGCATCTGAAACAGTAGAATGAAGTTGTGATAAGCAGCTGCATGGGATTTTTTTAAGATAAGAATTTAAACCTTAAATTCATTCTTGAGATCAAGAATTGTGTTCTGCCTGTGGAGGTGGTAATGTACTTTAACAAACCCATAGTATGATATGCATAAAGTCATGGGAGTGATAAACATAATCCAGGAACATTTCTTTGTGGAGTAAGTGCAGTTTAACTGGCTGACAGTCATGCAACCTCTTAGAGCTTCACTTTTGGGTCTGGTAGCCTTGTGTTCTTGGTCACAACCTGGTTCACCTTCATCAAAAGAGCCAAAGAATCCACACCAGACCCATCATAAACCTAGGGCTAGAATGTCTTTTGAGAGGCACAAGTTATGACTATTATGTCAGAAACAAAAGTATAACCGAAGAGTAGACTGGGAGAACATATACCAGGAATATAAAATATATTTGTGAAAGCAAAAAAACAAAAGAGGTGACTGTGTAACATTGCTGGAAATATAAACGGTTTTGCACAGCAGCTGTTACTTCAGTCCTGTTATTTACTTGGGCCATTGTATACTGCCCAAAAAAGTTCATTCTTACTGCATTCCCTAAAGTGCCTTAACACAATGTGTGCAAACTCTGGAGATCATTCAGTCTTGAACAAAAGAAGTGGGTGGCAAACAAGAAGAGATGGTCCCATTTGCTGGTTTTTTAGTATTATGAAACCTGAGTTTATTATTACTTTTGTGTCAAAGTAGGAGCTGGAACCTTTCTAGTGTATATTCTTAGGAGTAGCAGTCTTTGTGCAGTCCTGCTGGCTTGTTCTCCATTGTCCATTTGTCCTGGTAACTTCTGAATTTGTTGGACCTGTTCAACCGATTTTTAGGAAAAGGACTAGACAGAGGAGGAAAAATAGCTTGTAAGTGTCCAGTGGAGTAGAGAATGTAGCGTGCCATTCCCCCACCTCTTTCACTCTCACTGGCGCAATTCCCAGAGAATCATGCAGAAGATACCATGGCTGCCCCACTAAGTAATTGAAATCCATCTGCAGGTTCCTGCTCCACTTGGTAAGGCATTATGCAGAACAGAAAGCTGCACTGAATTAGGGAAAGCAACAAAAAAGAGCTTGGACTTTTCATACCCTAAGTCAGAGTACTAACCATGCACTTGACTATCAAGTCTTTCCTTTTCAGCTGAAATTTTGTTTCATTGTAACAATTGAAAAATTCTGGTTTCACCCCAGTGCAAAACAAAAACCATTTACAAACTTTGAAAGCTATCACAAAACAGAGTTATTGTCCTGTAAGCCAGTCTTGCACAAATACCGCACTCATCACCTAAATGCAACCATCTAACTTCTCACTTTTTGTCCACAGCGCTCTTACTTTCGAACTATTCTAATGTATGGGTTCCACTTCCTTGTATGGTTTCTCTGTGTCAAAAAGATCAGGGACACGCAGTGTGGATTTAAACTTCTGACCAGAGAAGCTGCTTTACGGACTTTCTCAACACTTCATATAGAACGCTGGTAAATTCTTCCTTTTTCTGTTGTTTCTTCCTAATTTACCATATTTTTGAAAAAGTAATTTTAGTATTGAAGCTACTAGGAAGCATGTGATGTCTATGTATAAATCCTAGCTGCTCAGTTTAACCAGTTATAGTACTTGCACATCAATTTAGATTTCTTGTTATGTTAAAAAATATCCTGGTAATTGCTAGGAATTCTGTTTTGTCATTAAGAGACACTTTAGGAAGCAGTTGGGTATTTAGTTTTATTCTTTCTTCTTATTGTGATAAGGAGAAAGGGAGCAGATGGGCTTACTAAGTTGACTTTAAAATAGCATCCAGTGTAAGCTGAAAGAAGACTACATTGGTGTGCTTTTGGGTGGCAACAGTTGACTCCTTGCAAGTTCTTTTTTCTTTGGTATGTGGTATAGAAAGAGCTACGTAATACTAAATGGGCATTTTGGTTTTGCTTTATCAGAGCAACTGATAATTAGTTAGGAGAGGGGGTTAAAAACAGTGTAACTCTTCTCTCATCACCTCTAAAAGAAACTCCAATCACGCAATTTTTTGATTATGTTGTAATCCACTCTCTTTCTGAGAGTCCTCTCTCCTTTTTCAGATGCGAGCCATGCAAGCAGAGTAAAAAATGGAGAGAAGCTTTTATTATGATACAAAAAGTTCAAAACTTTATTAGCCTGGTTTTATGCATTACAATTCAGTACTGCTTAACCAAAACAAGGTACCTAAAACCCATATCTGATAAGAAGTTTCTAATTACTGAAGGCTCAAAGTGAAAGGAAATGTCTACTGTTTTGCAGCTTTTATTACTAGAATATTTCATGAGAGGATTCTTGATAGAGCTCATTAATAAAAGACAGTAGAAAATGATGTATGGTCTTTGAATTACTTTAGAGCTCTCTTTCATTGTAATTTAGATAGAACAGTTCCCTTTAGAGAGTGATGCAGTTGTGACTACTTTTATGGGACTGAAACGCTGTTTCCACACAAATACCATAATTAAATTTCCTACACCACAACTGTTTATAGAAAGACTGGCTTAATTAAGCTTAATTAAATCTTTTCAAACTATTGTCTTCATCCAAGAAAACCTCTCATGGACTACTGTTTGCTGACAGAGAACAGAATGACTCAACAAAGTTCTCATACAAAAATGTGTGTAATCCTATAGTCCTAGTCAATTCCGATACATCCAGTTTTAGGCTGAGCTTTGGCAGTGACAGTTGAGTTATATTGCTCCTTCAGAATGGGACTGCAAAGGTAGTGTTTGGACACATGAATCTGATGCTGAATGTAGAGCTTCTGTTGAACTGAATCTGGAACTGTGAGCAGTCAACTTTTAGAAAAACACTTTCCTGCTGGGTGGTTTGCTTATTGCCCTAAAAGAAACTATAGCTGAGCCAGATGTATGATTTGTCCAAACTTGATCTGTAAAATTCTGTAAAATTCATATACAGGGGGTTTCTGAGTACGTGGTTAAACATGTATGTGAGGCCCAGAACTGCACATCTCAAAATTGTCCTGTTTAACTTGGCTTTATAAATTAAGTGCTTCAAGAAGAAATACTGAAAGAAATGAATGAGGGTAATCAGTTTAATCTGTAAAAATGCAGCCTTCAATCTTCCTCTGTTGTAAACTGAAGATTTTTGAATATAATTGCACTTAATTGTCAGACATATTATGTAAAATATTCAGGGGTTTTATTAAAAAAATCTTCACAAGCTTTCCTCTGTCACTTGGATTCTCTAAAAGAATGAAAGAGTAAAAATAATAGTGCTGTACCCCATTATCCAGGAATAAAGCCAATGAAAAAGGATATTGCTAGCTTATAGTAATTACATTGCAGGTGTGAAACATTATGAGCATGTCTTGGTGTCTTAATTCATTGCTCTTATATGTGCTGCTATAAAATGAGCCTTCTATTCTTGATCTTTTATTTACTGTAATCCATAAACTAACCCCCTGAGTGTTTTCTTTTTTATCTGAAATTCACTGGTTAGTGATGAAGAATGTTTTGTTGGTCAAAAGAAGAATAACTCAAGTGCTTCCAATGAACAGCTCTTCAGATACTTCCAAGTCACAAATTTGCCTAAAACAACAGTAGTTTGGTTTGGTTTGGTTTGAAGTTGGTTTCATTTTTTGCCAAAGTGGGCAATATATTGTCTGGTTTTATCCTCATCTGTCCTTCAACAGTCTCTGTGCTTCCCTGCCTTCATTTTCATACTTATTGGCTAATTTAACCCAAATCCAAAGGAATAGTAGACATTTTGAGATCAAAACCTTTGGCAAGTTTCATGGAAACTGAAACCTCCATGGAGGAGAGAAACTGCGATTATTGACGCTGCTAAAAGAGAAAACTACAATAAGGATTCAAAGTTACTTGTTAGCTTCGCAACCAGCCATTTATCATGTGTAACTGGAAGATAACAAAGTGTCAGTGCACGAAACAGAGTACTGTTCCTTTCCAGTTAATATTTATAAGATCTGGAAACAAAATGGGAGATGGGGAGGTGAAAGTGTGTGGGGAAAGTGGGTATTTCAAAGGAAAAGGTAATAGTGATTGAAATGTCTGTGTTGGACTCACAGTTGGGATAACTGCAGTTGGAAGTTACAAAGGGATATCAAATATTCATCCCATAGAACCATACATTGGATTCCTGTGTATGTAATAATGTAAGAATCTGAAACAGCCCAATACTGAAAGCTTCTTATTTTAAGCAAAAGTGGGCCCTGATATCTTACAATTGCATAACATGTAAAAACGAAAATAAAAACTGGTTAGGCATTGTGCTGTCGAGGTTCTGTATGAGCATGAAGATGTAAGGGGAAGAAATAGTAGTCAGTATTATATTTCTGCTAACCTGGAGCAATGGGGACTCCCTAATGGGTCACAGTACAACTCACTGATACTGAGACCAACAGCAGAGGAACCACCATCTTGATACTGGACTGGATGCTCGGAAGTCTGGGTTTATTACTGCCTCTGCATTAGGGCTGTTTGACATCTGAAGAAATTACTTGATTCTTTCGGAATCTTAGAATCCCATTAGTGAAGTGCAGCTCTGTTAGGTATTGAAAGAGTTCAGTTCAGTATGGTCACTGCTTAGACATTCTAGTAATACTGAAGGAGAGTGATGGAGAATATTCGACAAACAAGCAGCATTTAATAGAATAAAAGCCATCTGAGAGCCATCACCCTAGTCACTGAGTCTGTGGAGGGCTCCCCTGGAGCTGAAGCAGAATGTGTGGTGAGCTGTTGAAGAGAATGAACACGATTTAGTTTTTGCAGAAGCCTTGTCTGTCCTGTCTGCTCAGGTTCTGTCAGACTCAGATTTTTTGAGGTGCTACAGTAGAAAGTGAATTCTTATGTGAGGACATAATAAATATTTGAGCCAGTTAATATGCAACATATTTTTGCATGATGTGATATAAAATGACTATAAAATTGGCTACCTAATAATTCTTTCCCTGAACTGTTAAGCTTACTGCTCAGTTAGGATATGAATATGCATACACAATAGACAGGATTTGCTTTATCACACCTGAAGAGCATCTACTTGTCATCTAATCTCCTGTCTTAGACCAATAGAAGGGACAATTTTAGAGTACAATTAATTTCATCCTAATACAGGCTTCTAAAATACACCAGATGAATTGCAGCCAACAAATGCCCATTTCCTGCCCTTGGCTGTAAAGATACTGTAGATAATTTGTACAGAAGGTGTATCCACTGTAAATGACTGAAGTTCAGCAGGGTAAATTTAACTCATAGCGAAGCAATATGTAGGAAAAAATGTGCTGCATTGCTGGTACCTCAGCTGTGTCAGAAGGATAAACTATTCAGTAAATCCTGGAGGTACTGAGTTAGAAAAAAAAAACTACTGAAGTAATTCTGTATCAAAGGCAGCTCAGTTTCTGAGTTGTTTAGGCAGCACCCGTTGTTTCTGTAGCCCAGAGAATTCTTCCCTTTGGATAAAGGAATCCAGGAATACCTAGGTATACAGGAGAGCACCAGTGCTGAACTAGCATTGGACAATAGGAGACTGCCTTAAGTGCTGGATATTGCTGCTACTGCTCCAAAAGGCAAATCAATACAAATTCAAGAAATTATATTTTTATTTGTACATCTCTAAGCAGGCTGATAACATACTTCAGTCAAAGAGCAAGTCTGAGGAGCAGTCTCAGTGTCTCATCACTCACAGTAAAGAATTTCTTCCTAATAGCTAATCTAAATTACCCTTTTTCAGTTTAAAGCCATTCTCCCTTGTTCTAGCTCTACGTGGCCTTGTAAAAAGTCCCTCTCCAGATTTTTTGCAGACACCTTTTAGGTACTGGATGGCTCCTCTAACGAGTATCACCTCTTTAATGTTAAAAATGCTGGAAAATAAACCAAAGTTTTCTTCTTGCTGTTCTGAGTTTTATTTATAGATGCTTATATTTAGGAAATCTTAAAAGCAAACTGAAATACTGCAGAAAACCACTGTTTCATCATTATGATGATCAGGGTTATGTCACACTTTTTAAAGAGAGAGGGATTTCCTATAATGTTTTGTTAATCTAATAAAGTTTATAAAGCATTTGAAAATTAATAGATATTGCAAGCTACTTATGTATTTGATACAAAGAAGTAATGCTTATATCCTAAACTAGATTTTTTGTGACTGCATTAGTCTTTTTAACGGGTCTTTGGAGAGCTGGCTGTGCATGAATATGGAGTATGACCTGAGAAATGTAACTGTTTATGTTAAATTTTAATGCACAGGAGCAAAAGTGGAGAATTAAATGTTCTCACTGGCAGAATTTTCCTGTCCTAATTTTTTTCATTGATTTCTTCTGCCAAAACAAACAAAAAAATCATAAATTTTCTTTCAGCCAGAAAATGTCCTTCCTTACATAGGAGAGCTGGACATAGCAGCACTTACTCTCCTACCCGGGATATTGATAGGATGATGGCGGATTCAAAGCATAGTTCTAGTCCTGGTTTGATTGACGTACTTTTGTGAA